ACCTCCTTATCTACTGTAAATTTAAGGGCAGGATGAACACCATTGAGTAGGGGAAAAAATTGATCCACTTCCGATTCATGGCTGAACACACAAACCGAAAGTAAACCTTGGGTCGGGCAGAACTTAACAAAAGACTTTCCTCATAAAAACCCACAAAAATATTTGCCAATATTGCCAACACAGGACCCGAAGGGGAACCCATCGCTACACCATCGATCTGACGATACATGATATTTTCGAAACTGAAATCGACAAACATGGTGGCAAATTTCTTGAGTTCAACAAACACTTTTTCAGGTATATTCGGAGGAGTCAATTCAATACGATATACCATATAGCTGCAAATATCAATAGTCTCCGATAAAGGAACGAGGGACGAAACCGGTCGACTGGTGTGTGTTTTGTTTTAAATCTATCATGGCCTACAATATAAAATGTCTTGTTTTTAATGCCTTAATACGCTTTTTTACAGTTTCATATATATATATATATATATATTTATATATATATATATATATATATATATATATATCATGATAGACTACAAAACGATATACCTGCACTTTGGATCTTCACTATTATGTATGATGTTTGTCTGAAAGTTTTATACTAAAAAGACTCTGGTCTTGCGCTGCAAGAATAAAGCCTTCCTTTTCGGTCTTTAATCAAGATGCCCGTAACCATCAATGAGCGTTAACTTTATCAACATCTACTTTATTAGAACGTTCAGGATGTTGGCCTTACAGAGGTTTCTCTTGTCGGTGTTGTGCAAGAACTTTATACTTGTCTTCTCTTTTATATAAGTTTTGCTGCAACAATTGACTACTGAATTCTGTTTTCGTTTTCTACAGAATCTACTAGGTGTAAATCTCGTTTGTATTAACAACTTTCTTTCATGGGTGAATATTTTTTCTTTCTGTTTTCGTGTTGTTATACTAATTGTAACATTCAGTCCTATGTATGTTAGTAAGCCAATAGTTGTTGTCTTGTATGACAATTCAAGCTGAATAAGACATCTTTCACCTTCTTTACCGGGTATGTATAGACAGTCTGCATCAAACTTTGGGTGATGCATGTTATGCTTCTAATGATTTCTTATCTTCGTCTGATATCATTTAGAGTCCAGTTTTAGATGTTGAAACTAAATTGAATCACTGGGTATGGCACAGCTATTAATGGCCATAATTCTGTTCTGAGAAATCAATTTATTTCTTAATATCAGTCGTAATCTTCTATAGTAAAATTTTCGCACTATTTCATTTTTTTATCGTGAATTCCTTCACTCTCATTTTTTATTGTTAAACAATGGTCCACGCTAATAGAGGAAGTTTGTTGTAGTGATCTTGTAAAATTGTGGCTTTTTAATTTTGTATTTTCTTTTGACTTTTCTGCCTTTTATAGTCCTTACATTTGTTCCTCTTACCAGTTCATGGAGTACTGATAATTCACTTCTAATTTGTTCAATTTCTTTCTCTATTTTTCTTTTCCATGGTGGATCTTTATGTCTGTGAGACTCTCTTTTTTACTTTGATGTTTAATTTTTTATTTGCTGCTATGCATATATTGCTTCTTTGAGATTTATATATGGGTCGACTTCATCCAGAATTAATTTGAGTGCTGCATTGTAGAGTTTAATACTTTTGAGGTTCTGCTTTGTTAGTTTAAATTTGGGGATTTGTTTCAATATTTTGTGTCTAATTATTTCTTCCTTGGCTTCTTGTATATTTTTCTTGTTCTCCGTAAAATAGGTCGATTCAATCTCTTTTGGACTCATTTTACTTCAGGCTTGTGAGTAAATAAGCTTTTCCAACTCTTCCAAACTTCAGCATTATCTTCACAGTGATTCGTGTGTATCTCAGTGTCTTCATTAAGATCTATGGATTGTACGATGTTAGTACTTTTTATGTTCATTTCTGGTGCCCTTTCACGTTCTGGGGATTCACCTATTCCGGTTGCAGTTCTTTTTATTTCTTTAATTTCAGCATCTGACAATCGGTTATTTTTCATGATGCAACTTCTTATATTGGCTATTTTATTTTCATCAATGTTCTTTCTAATTGCTTTTACAACCTTTTCCTGCCAAATCGCATATGTTTGGCGAGTGGTGCTCCACTGAGGTTTGTGCAACTCTTCATAAAATGCAGTCATAAGGATTTTTTCTCCTCACGAGACCATTTCAACTTTTCTCACTTTAAATAAATGGTTCTGGGTCTTGTTGGAGAATTCACGTAGCCATCAATGAGATTATCCCGGTTGTCAGGATCTGAACATTCATTATTTCTGTAGGAGTTTCCTATGGCAGATTTTTCGGCCTCATGCATGTTCCACTGGAAGAGCTATACTGGAATTGGTGGTCTGACGTTTAGTTCTCATTTTTCCCAGGAGTGACGCACTGGTCCAAAAGTCAACCCAAAGTCGCCCGGCATATTGGATAACCTGTTTTTTACAGTGTTCCGAAGCCTGAAGAGGATTGTTCGCGACCTCATAACACAGCAACCATTCACTCCTCGGCACGATTAATACCTTGAGTTGCGAGTTGATGATCTGAGTTTTACATCTCTTAAAAATAACCATACTAAGTTTTAACTTAGTATAAATCGCAATGACCACTACCAGATGAAAGTTCAGGTGGACATATATTTGAGGTTTCGAGAAGAAAAGAAATGAATAAGAAAAATAAAATGAAAACGCTTTTTGCGATCGTCAGAAAAACACCTTTTGTAAATCGTAAAAGCGTGAAAAGGGTCACAAACTCACATCAACTTAAATTAAATTATATAAATATAAAATTAGATAAAGTTAAAAAAAAGACACGGAAGGTTATGTAAAAAATTTTATAGATAAAATAATAAAAGATAAATAAGGATGTATAAATAAAGTGAAAGAAACTTAAATTAAATTAAAGAAAAGTAAATGTAATTTATGTATAAAATTTCGCATCGCTTCCATGTTGAAAGAGGGACAGAGAATGGAATCGGCCTAAAAATGTTCAATTTTCTGACACTATTTAGAATAAAAGTAATCAGGCTTTATAGTGTAAATCACCTCCCACTACAAGTTAACGGAAGGGTCACTAAGAAATTCATTAAACAAAGAAAGAATAAGAAAGAAAAAAATAATAAAATAGATTTCACATTCGCGACCATTTCTCAACCTCCTAATAATATGGGTCTCTCAAATGTAAAATTTTTCACTCACACAAAAATGTTGGTCAAAAAGACCATGGCCGGATTAGTTCGCCTGTAGCCATATGTGAACGGAGGGAAGACAAAGAAAATAGGTTATCAACCAATACATACATGCACACACACGCATATATATATATATATATATATATACACGCACAAACATCGACAAAGATATATTATGCTGAGTTAAAAAGCATGGAATGTCTCGCTGGAAGTGTGGAAAAATCATCATTATTATTATCATCATCATTATTATTATTATTATTATTAAATTGGGATTTTTTTTTCTTATTAACTTATTCATAATTATTGCAAAATATTTTCAAATTATTTCCCCTTTTAATTTTGGAGTTTCATATTAAAATAATTTCAAAACCACGAGTAAATATCTTTTGCCATCAGCTTAAAAATTAATAGGAAAAAAAAGCAGTCTATTAAGACAAGTTCAGTTCACCAAATTTTTCTTGTTATATTAAAATATTTTTCTTAGAAATATTTTCTTGATTCGGGATGAGAGAATTGATCAGGGCAAATATATTTCTACATTTTTTTAAAATAGTTTTTTTCTTTCTATGTGAAAATGATATTGTATTTAAGCTGCTTTTAAAAGATGAATTATTAAATCTGACATGTCAAATTTTACGTAGAATCCTTTTAATAATAGCTGAATCAACATTATTATCTTAAAACTCTTTCTATTTATAAATGTGTGTGGTCTAATGATAAAAAGTATAGAAAACCGATCTTTTCCAAGAAGAATTCTAATATTTGAGATAGCTCACTTGTTCCTCTTTAATGGCGCTGAAAGGAGATTCCAAATTCTAGGATTTTGGTGTCTATTTTACCCACTTCGTTACCTTATTTTCCCTTTTTTACTTTCAAAAGCCTCACGCGTGTGATAGAGTAGAAGTTATTAAAACTGTTTTGTTCATCTAATATAAAAGTTCGATCATTATGAGCATTTCTAGTTACAATCAAGTTAAAAATGTTCTAAAATAGGGTATTCATTTGAAACTTGTTTTCTGGTATCGGAAAATAAAATGCCCTCATAATTTGTAAATATTTTACAAACTAAAGACAATTTTGTGCAAGACAGCAATAGTCCGGCAACCTATAAAAGTCAAACTCTTTCGCCATCGTGTATGACACATCACTTCATAGTAGGCGTAACTTTAACAGAACGTTTTCTACATTTCATATACTGAAGTTGAATATTTTCTTTTAAATACATTCTTTGAATTTTGGCTGTCGTGCTTTTGATTGTTTTAAAAAAATCACGAGTATCATTAGGATGCCATAACTGGCAAATGGAAAGAAATAACTGGCAATCCGGAAAGAAATTATTATATATTATTATATGTAGTTGTATGAAATGCGTAATACCCGTTCGAATCATTTCTTTTTCTTTGTCTGGTTCCAAGTCAGTTTTAGCATTGACAGAGCAAATTATGTGAGCTAGTCCTCTCTCAATTCGTCCTAGGGAAATTTAATTTTAATTATTTGTAACATAACTTAATATGAAGAAGAAGAAATCCATTCTAACCGAGTCACCGTTATTTTGCAATTGGCTTCTTCATTATTTTACAACTCGGTACTATCATCAACATTTGTCACGGAAATTCCGATCTCATTAAACTGTCTTTCTTTAATCTGCGGGACACTTTAATTTTTTCTTTTCTTTAAAAGTTGTTTTCATTTTTTCTTATTAGTTGTTTTAGTTCTTTGCTGTTTCTGATAAGTTCTTTGTTCGTTTTATATTATTTTTCTTGTTTTATTATATTCTTTCATTTTTTATTTCTGTATTTTTCAAATATGCATTTTTTATATTTTTATATATTCTTTTACTTCTACCGTTTTCCTTTTATTTTGTATCTTCATTTCTTCTTTATCTTCTTCTTATTCTTTTTTTTCCCGTTCTTTTTATATTCCTTTTTTATTCTTCCATTTGTTATCTCTTATACTCTCTTTTGTACTGATGAAATAGCCGCCTTAGAAATTCGGATTCCTATCGGGTGCATTCTTGGGAAAGAATGATTCCTTTTGCTTTCTCCACGGTTTGGATTCAGAATTATCTATCTTTTACACACGTTGCTACACAGATCTAGGAAATACAGTCAACTCTGGTATTTAATTCATAGATGCATTAAAAAGAGACGAATGTATGCCTTTCCCAAGTACATTAGTTCGAAAGTGAATGCAACAGACTAGTTCAGAATATGAACTCGGTTCACTGGTTCCACTTTCCAAGCCAATATCCATTACACTATCCGCACATCCCTATTTAAATTAACTCATATATTCTCTTAAAATATATTCACAATTTTATATATATATATATATATATTATATATATATATATATATATATATATATATATATATATATATATATATATGGGGTGAATCTATGTATCAATAATACTTTAAGAAACTTTGCGAGCAGGTCCCTTACACCAAAACAAGGACAAATGTCTATATAAACATATGTCTACAAATCCTTTGTTTTTTTATTTAAGTTTAAAGAAAGTTTACGGTAGATAGCTTTGTGTTACCATGCAGACTAGGTTACATTTGGGCTTCGTGTATATTTGTGACTAGTCTGACTCCATGTTTAACGTGTGTAGTAGTGAGTTAACTGAGAAGTGCTCTGTTTAACAATAGCAGGTTATTAATATCGTGAGCAGGCAGATATTATTTTACATACGGTCGCGTGAATGGTAATGGACGCGAGGCTACACAGATTGTATTTCCAGACCGAAGGCAGCCGACTCATTCAAACTTTGCTGTTGTTTATCGTCGCGTTATTGAGGCAGGATCTGTAGCACCACAAACTATGGATCGAGGAAGACCGAGAACCGCTCGTACGCCTGAACACATTCTACAGTTCTACAGGAAACAGTCTAGGTATCAGCACGTGTCAAGTGGACCTATCAGGTCGTACATTTCATAGCACCCTATAGAGGTGTCTTCAAGAGCAGCTCTTGTGTCCGTATCAATTGCAACGCGTGCAGTGTCTTTCGCCCTCTGATCACTCACTACTGGAGAACTTTTGCCGATGGTTTATTGCACAAACTGCCGATCCATTCTTTGTCACTTCAATACGATTAATGTGTGGACTGGAAATATAGCTGACTGTCTGGTAGGTTTATATCTTCTCCCAGCACGACTTACAGGAGCTGTCTACAGGGACTTTATTTCGAACACACTTCCAGATCTGCTAGAGCGTGTACGCCTGCTAATACGAAGACGCATGTAGATAGGAGAGGACCGATTCAATAGCCAGCTCGTTCTCCCTACCTCGATCTTTTGAATTTTTATCTGTGAGTGTATGAAGCATACAACAATAAAACAGTCGTTTCATCAACACGCCAATCAATGATCCGATTGGTGAATGCGTGTCTAGAAGTGGACGACATTTTGAACATTTGTCATGAATTGGTGTGTACTTATGTTTCTATACATATTTTACCTTTTTTTTGATGTCAGGCAGCCGCCCTAAAATGTGTAAATATATATATATATATATATATATATATATATATATATATATATATATATGATTTTCATTGAATAATATAGACATATTATAGCTATTTACTTTCATAATAATCCTTTTCAGATATAATAGAATGCGTTCATGTTTGTTTTTAAAAATCACCATCTCAACTATCACAGTTACAGTAAGTTTATCTTTGTAATTCAACCCTGATGATGATTTCGGAGGAGATCGAAAGTACTTAGGTAGCAAAAAACTACGGTGTCTTCTTTGTTGAATTTCGACATGGCATCAAGAGATTAATTAGAAAAGTGGAAAGGATTATTATGAGAATAAATAGATATTATATGTGTATATTATTCAATGAAACATGTTTGAATTAACATATACTGCCTATATATATATATATATATATATATATATATATATAGAGAGAGAGAGAGAGAGAGAGAGAGAATCATTCATACAAAAAAGAAATATAGAGGTTAATGATTTAAATGGCGAGAATACATCTTCGCAAACAATTTCAATAAGTTACACTAACCCCAAACCTGTATATGAATGATATGATCCCTGTTTATAAATTCCAGTTTCATAAGGTATTTTTTTTAGTTTTTACAAGCTTTCGTCTGTTCCTACATATATATATATATATATATATATATATATATATATATATATATATATATATATAGAGAGAGAGTTTGTTTCATAACTAGTCGTTTTTTCCCTAAACCAATTCAACTGTTCATTTTTTCACTTGTTCTTTCGATAATTCGTTTTTAGGTTAGTACATTTTAAATCTACCTTCTAATAGTATTTTTAGGTCTACAGCACTTCCAAATTCACATTTTTTTTTCAACATAAATCATTTACTCACATATTTTCTCTGCATGTGCGCACGTGGATTTTATTCTGTGCCTCAGCGATCTGTTCAAATGTATTTATGGATTTTCACAATAAAATATAATTGATTACATTTCTCAAATCATTTTAAAGTAAATGATACATATTTATACTTTTAGTCATTGAAAACCCTTTAATATAAAACTCGGTTATATCATATAAAAAAATCAGTTTAAGTTACTTTGAATATAGCAAAATATCCTATGACATCATTTCATTGCTCTTGATTTGCTTCTCCCTTCGATCAAATGTTCATACTACTTATATTATTATTATCGTTGTTGTTCCGTTTGCATTTAGTATCTTATGAATGTGAAATTCTCTAAGTCTTATTTCGTAAAATTGTTCTAAAAGTTCTAGCTTTCTCTTTTTGATTATAAACATATAATCATTTTGTTTCCATTCACCTTAAGCTTACCTCGTTGCTGACTTGTTTCATTCAAGTATTTTCAGCATCCTTCTGTCTCAAGTTTCTTTTACATCTGTAAAGAAACTGTGCACCATTCACTGCCATATAGGAGGATTGATATTACAGCGTGCTGGATCGTTGTCTTCTCTTTTGTAACGAAAGCCTCATCTTTCTTAATATTTGGTTTCGTTATGAAAGGCATATTTCGTTAGTCCTTCCGATTTCGTTATCACATGTTCCATCATCTGTTAAAAAAAAACTTTTAAGTTAGCTCCCATCATGGCCTCTTGCCGACAATCACACATTTTCTATTCTTATAGTTTATTATTAGTTTTCCTTCAGCTTTACGACTCTCAAAGCATATATAATAAAAATTGTTGAAGTGCTAAATGTTATCATTGTCCTAAACAATGTTATAAACATTACTTGTCTTTATAAGGATTTTCACTTGTTAAAAAACTCTTACAAAATCCGTGAAATATAGAATGTAGAAGTGTAATAATATTTGTAAGAAAAGATAGGCTCATGTATGTGTTTAAATTCCTAAGCTAATCGAATATTTGCCTGACTGATCAATCTTTTTAATGATATGCTAAATAATCTCTAAGCAAGTAATAGGAAAATATAAAGTTTATTAAATTAAAAAAAAACTGCATTTTCCTGGAATGTTCAGTGATTTTAAAACTTTCTGTTTATGAGAATATCTAAAAAAGTCTTTACTTAAGATTTTGCAATGAGTTTTTTGGGCAGTGAGTTCATACAAGGTGGCCAATGAGCAATGACAGAAAGACACAGACAGAAAGAAAGGGAAAATAGACCGAAGAGAGATATAATTGAATAGAGAAGAGAAAAATTGGCAAAAGACAGAAAGAATGGGAAAGAGAAAGGAAGAGCAAAATGTCCAAGAGAGTGAATTAAAACAGAGAAAAGACAGATTGAAAGTGTGAAAATCAACAAAGGTTGTTAACCTGTTTTAATTACTGTTTCCCATTTGCCAACAGAATTTCAAAATTGTTTTAATTTCTACTGTTGGTAATAAACTACACACACTATGCAAAGTGTATATCCTCCCCGTCAATATGTGACTAGGACGATTTTTTTCATTTTGAAACTTGTAAAGTTAACGAGCCACGATTTGTATACCGAAACTTATGACACATGATCATTTGCATTAAAAATGTTAGAGCAAGGTGTAAATATTTACTAATATATGGGTGTCTGTGTACGTGTGTGTGTGTGTGTGAGAGAGAGAGAAAGAGAGAGAGAGAGAGAGAGAGAGCGATAGATCAATGACAAAATTAAATAGATATATCAATTTAAATAAAAACTTTTAATCAATATTCAAATATATTTTATTACGTAAGTTAAAATTCTGGTCGGCTCAGGATTGACTGAAGGTATTTAATCTCCGTAGTATCGCATATTTTAGATTTTGTTGAATATGGAACCAAACTGAAATGAAAATATGGAGTAAATCATTCCCTTGGAGAAAATCTTTTGAAATTTTTTTCATGCCATGATTCTAAAACAAATTGATATGTTCAATATATGTCAAGCACCTGAATAGGAAATTAAATTTGGTTAATATCTTTGGCAATTTTTTTTCTCTTTGGATGGTAAGTAGCGCAATTCTCAATAAAATTATAGCTTCTATCAAAAATAATCTAGATAATGTTTTCCTAAAAATTACCACTTTCTGGAGCACTCCCGCATGAGTGTTTTCCGCGCACAAAAATTTTATCAAGTCTCAATCATTATCTAACCTCGTCAACAGTTCCCTCTATCACTTAATTCGTGGAAAAAAATTTGTTTTAATTATATTTTAGTATAAAAACGAATAAAATTTTGGGAATAAAATTTCAAGGCGTTTATGAATCATAAATGTTTGAATAAAACATTAATCTACATCCTGTTGAGTTTGAAAGGATTTGTTGGATTTCCTACTACTATCTTTCCCGGTCATTCATGGTAGTTGGCAGTTCCTCCACATTACGCCCAATGCTGTTTTGGCTATAAGATTGACAACGTTTCTTTGGAGCTAGTTTCGTATGGACATTTTGTCAGGTTACCCTTTCATGATATGTCAAGACTGGCTCGCAGCATGCCTGTGCAAATACCATCTAATATTTTTTCTGAGCATTCTAAATTCAGGACAGTACAAAAAAATTGCTTTCATAGTGCTTTCTTTTTCATAGTATAAGACCAATCTGATTTGCAGATAACAATTGTGCTGTTAGCTGTCCATAATTTATTTATCTGTATCTTTACATCGTCTAAAGTAGAACTATTACTAGGATGATATATGAAGATATATTTAGACTTCCATAGTTAACTGAGCCACCGTAAATCACTATCCAAAGATGATTTAAATATTTTATATGTAAATTCAAAATACATAAAATATCAGCTAACTTAATTCAAATATAAAGTAAAATACATTCATTTTAATAGTATGTTTTACGTTACGTTTTAAGTTATTGCGTTGCTTATAACTTTTTATCTTCAACATATCCTACTCAGAAATTACACTGGCAAACAAAGAATAAAAATAAAATGAAAAGGATTTTTCTCAATGCACCAAACGGGAGACAATTTTGTCCTTCAGCGGGCCGGACCGGAGAACATTTTGTCTGTCAGCGGGCCGGACCAGGATCATATTGTCTGTCAGCAGGCTGGACTGGGATCATTTTGTCTGTCAGCGGGCCAGACCGGGATCATTTTGTCTGTCAGCGGGCCGGACTGGGATCATTTTGTCTGTCAGCAGGCCGGACTGGGATCATTTTGTCTGTCAGTGGGCCGGACTGGGATCATTTTGTCTGTCAGCGGACCAGACCTGGATCATTTTGTCTGTCAGCGGGCTGAACTGGGATCATATTGTCTGTCAGCAGGCCGGACTGGGATCATGTTGTCTGTCAGCTGGCCGGACCGGGATCATGTTGTCTGTCAGCGGGCCAGACTGGGATCATTTTGTCTGTCAGCAGGCCGGACTGGGATCATTTTGTCTGTCAGTGGGCCGGACCGGGATCATTTTGTCTGTCAGCAGGCCGGACCGGGATCATTTTTCTGTCAGCGGGCTGGACCGGGATCATGTTGTCTGTCAGCGGGCCAGACCTGGATCATGTTGTCTGTCAGTGGGCTGGACCTGGATCATTTTGTCTGTCAGCTGGCTGAACTGGGATCATTTTGTCTGTCAGCAGGCCAGACCGGGATCATGTTGTCTGTCAGCAGGCCGGACTAAGATCATTTTGTCTGTCAGCGGGTCGGACCGAGATCATGTTGTCTGTCAGCGGGTCGGACCGAGATCATGTTGTCTGTCAGCGGGCCAGACTGGAATCATGTTGTCTGTCAGCGGGCCAGACTCGGATCATTTTGTCTGTCAGCGGGCCGGACCGGGATCATGTTGTCTGTCAGCGGGCCGGACCGGGATCATGTTGTCTGTCAGCGGGCCGGACTGGGATCATTTTGTCTGTCAGCAGGCTGGACCGCTATCATGTTGTCTGTCAGCGGGCCGGACCAGGATCATTTTGTCTGTCAGAAGGCCCGACTGGATGCCATTTTTCTTGTTAGCGAGCCAGAACTAGAGACAATTTTGTCTGGCAGGGTGCCGGACTGGTGGATATGTTGTCTGTTAGCGGGCCGGACCAGAGACCATTTTGTCTATCAGCGGGTCGAACTGAAGGACATTTTGTTTGTCAGCGAGCCAGACTGGGGGCCATTTTGTCTGTCAGCGGATCGGACATTTGATTTTTACTTATCTTGGCACAAAATGATCTAGTAAATAACACCGTGAATGACAAGAAACATAATTTCTAGGTTGAAAATTTAATTTGTTCCCCAGATTTGTAGCTAGAAAATGACTTAAATAATTTGACTTTCTCAAAACGCTGTCGCTGCATATTTTCTAAATCGGTAGATTTATTAACTAGTCTCATTGCGTTGCTGTAAATATATATATATATATATATATATATATATATATATATATATATATATATATATATATATATATATATATATATACACGTATGCGTGTTTATATAACATTTAAATGGGCTTTGAATGTTGGTCTGTCTGCCTGCATCTTTCTTTTAATTAAAGTAGTTTCTTTGAAGTACAAAAACACATTTCTTCTCTGTGGTTTGAAATCGCCCAAAGATCATTCATTCATCAAGAAAAGTCCATAAGTAGTAAGGGTTGATCTAAAACATGTGTGCACAAAATTTGACTTAATGCAACAACTATCAAAAAATCCTGATGTCCATTGTTGTAAAATGATTTAAGTAAACCTCGACTTAAAGACAGAAATCTGTGTCATTGAACAATTTGGAACATTTCCACTGTGATCATTCAAAACGCCTATTCCAATGAAAAAAAAAGAGACGTCAAATCTGAAAGATGGTGAAATTAGTGCCCTACGGTTTCAAGGTTACTGCCATATACAAATTAGAAGAGTTGGTCGTATTTTGAAGCCTAATGAACAACAATGATTTTTAATAGAAGCAGTCCAAAGCAACAGATAAAGAATTTTGCTAGAAAAGAAGCTTCTCGAAAAATAGTGATAAATCATTGGCAATAAAAATATCGGTTACAGAAAATAAGATCATATATATATTTATATATATATAGGTTTAAATAAAGATTTGTGTATTTTAAATCTTTATAAATATTTCAATAGTTAAAATTTTTTTTAGATATAGTTAAAAAAAAATTTAAACAACATCTAAATATTATTAAAGTTAGATTTACGTTTAAAATATTCGCGAATATAAGCGAATTTTTTTTGGAATCCCAAAAAATTTCGCTTGAAGATGGAACAGAGCTTATTTTAACTCAATTTAATTTAAATAATTATATTAAAGTTTTCGGCTCTTGTTTTGAAACATGAGACTTCTTATGTAGCGTTTTGGAATCATATTTTTAAATAAATAATTATATTTATGCTCTACTTTTGTATCGAGCACTATTTTTTAAAAATAATAACTAAAATACTAAGGGACTTTGGATTATTTACCTAACCAGTTCCTTCCTATTTTTATATATATATATATATAATTATATATATATATATTATAAATTTTAAATAAATACTTTCATAAAAACATTATTAATTTAATTTGTAACTTTTTTTGTTGTATATATATATATATATATATATATATATATATATATATATATATATATATATATATCGTTTTAAGATATGCAGATATAATAAGTGCTGATAACGATCAGGGATAGTATATGCGAATAAAAGTAGACACTTAGGTCAACATGGAGTTTAAACAGACTGCTTCACGCTTGAATGCAACTTTCAGGCCATAAAATTACGTTTATGCATGAAACAGACTATTACCTCTCGGTGTTGACCTCAGTGTTCACACACATATGTATGAGTGTATGTGAATGTGTGTGTATATATACAACTTTTTTTCTACGTACCGTCTCCCTTCAGGACTTGACTTTCTATATTTTTGTTCTGCCAACCATTTACACAAACTCATTATATATGTTATGTGATGCCTTCCTCTTGCTTTCAGTATATCTGGTATCATATTTTTCTTAATGCAAATTCAATATTAAATCCTTTCGTCATTATGTGAACTAGAAATTTCAACTCTCTCTTACTAATGTTAAGTATAAGTGTTCTTTTTGTTTCCATTTTATCTAAAACTTCGGCATTGCTCTTATGTTAACTACACAATATCCTCAGCATCCTACTGCAGCACCACACTTCCGGTATATCACCACTGTTGTATACTACATTTATTATGTGCGTAATCCTGTCAATGTCGAAAGCACCTAAAGCTGCCAACATCACTCTTACAATTACATCTGGTTCTGATATATATATATATATATATATATATATATATATATATATATATATATATATACATACTGTGTGTGTAGTGGGCTGGGTGACTCTCCCATCGCTTGGATGACAAATGAGGACTTAGTAAAATAAAGATGTGCTCAAATTTTATGGACACGCATGTGTTTTGCGCTCATATATATATATATATATATATATATATATATATATATATATATATATATATATATATATACTCACATATAAACAATTTCCTATTTGGTAGAATGGGTCCAATAGATGCTGAGAGCTGTATGCTTATTCTATCTTGACTAAATATAATGGATGCTAACCGAATCAACACATTTTCCTATCCTATCGTGACATTCAGAGATTCCGATTTCAATGGACGTCACGAATAATTTTCTCTGGCGTTACTCTATATTCGTAGTTCATTTTTTTCAGCTCACCTACAGTTATTTCCTCTATTAGGCAAGGCCATTTCCCAAATTAATGCCCATAATTATGCTACTGTCAATTTCGCGAATTAGGCTGCAATTGTGGATAAATGGAATAAAAAAAAATGTGAAAGTCTTAATTCTGATAATCGGTGGCACATTTTGCTTCATGAAATAATGAAGTATTCTTCAAAGTCTAAAATGAGATGAGATGAGATATTATTCCCTGATCAGCTCCAAAGCGTAAGAAATCATGTTCACGGGGTCAAACAACATTTATATAGGTGACTATAAATGAGAACATGTTAGAATATTCACACACGAACTCCTACAAAGGTAGAATCGAAATAACATAAGAAAGAACGATGGAATCAGTAGGAGAAACGATATCTCAGGCATGCATCATTCGTGCTTTGTGAAAAAAAAATATGCTCCTACAATAAAAATCATAATAATAATTTAGCAAAAACTTATACTAAGTTTATTTATATCAACAATGTTTTAGCAAGATATTGAATAGTTGTAGGTTATTTTAAAACCATATCCTCCTGACGTTAATTTAAACTGACGCTTTTCTTTCTTTCCGCGTTTTGTGATAATTATGCTTAAGGTTTGTATTTTCTTGATTTCAGATGATAACTTGGTTATTTTCAAATATATTTCACTGAAATTTTCTCATTCAAAATTATAGTTTATTATAGTTTAATTTTATGAAGTGAAACGCCATCTTTTTATACTGCCATCAGGTGAATAAATTTTAAAATATACTAAGATATACACGAACTCTTACAAAGGCCATGGCGTGAATGACGAAGAGGGCAGCTGTCATGTGTTGGAACCGATTAGCAAAGAGTTATTCTTCAAAATGTGTCATGACGAAGTGACTTTAAGAAGACTTACAATTATAAAAAGTAGGGAGAAATTTTGATGCAATTCTACCGTTTTGTGAGATAGCACAGCGTATGAACATAAAGTGAAATGATTGTTTATTTCAAATTAACCTAGAAAAATATTTATAATTGTGAGATAGATCAATTCAATGAATTTTGAATTCAAATTCAATATTAGAACGAAATAAATTCAATATTAGAAAGGATCTAATATTGAATTTGCAACAAATGTCAAAATAATTCATATCCTATCGTCTGTACTTTAAACCATGTCCCCTTGAAGTTAGTTTAAACTGAAGCCTGCTTACGGCCACATCACGTTGAAAATTAAGCAACGACATGTCCGGTCAGTGTTTCGGCGGTTAATAATTTAGGAATAATAGATGTTGCAAGCTTGTATGTTCGGGTGGTGTAATAGAATTTTGATTTGAGAATTACTTTTATTATATACCTATTCGAAACATTTTTGTTATTCTCTAAGAGACCCGTGTCTGAGTGGCTTAAAAACTTGACTAAACATTTCGTTCCCAGCTAGTTGTGAGCTCTCCATTTGAGTTCAGGATAAATAAGCACAAATCACACAAAAGGGAATAAGACTGGTGAGTATTACTTCATATGTAATATACCTTAAGCATGTAAAACTGAAGGACAATCTACCCACTTGAATTGACTATAAGACTTCAGTTTGAAATTTTCCAGAAGTTATCGAATATTACACCAGACATCTGAAGGAGACCTAAACGTACAAGAGCCAAAATGCTGAGATCATCATTATATAATAAAAAATCATCATTATATAATAAAAGATCATCATTATATAATAAAAGATCGTAATAATTCACCTTTATTTTATTTATTTGTTTGTTTTGTAGTCATTGCAATTTTACGTGACTAATATATCATAGTATTTACTGGAGATGAACGTCTCTTCATTACTGGTGGTTTTAACGCTATGTCCTTTCAATGTATCGGGAATCATAACTGGACTCTGGTTTTTGTTGTTGTTTTTTTTTTCTATACAATTTGCCAATTTCCATGCTGGAATTCATTTTTCGTTTTTTAGACGGATTTCTATTCAGTGTCAGAGATTCCAGTCTATCCTGGTAGAAAATAATACAGATTTACGCCATTTCGAAGGCCAATCTGCGAATTTACTCATTAACCGAGAATAGGTTTTTATTCTATGAAATGGAAAGGTTATATTGAATCAATTGCGACAAGTTCTACAGAAAAAATTGGTTTACTGTATCGTGCGAGTGAATTGTTCTCGCCTGAAAAGTCTTCGGCATTTATAAGTCTGCCTTACGTCGACGGATTGTCTATAGCTGTCAATCTGGTCAGGTGTTTCTGCAATGTTATCGGTCCTGACCTGGTATTTTGGCTACACTCACTTTCCAACTGCCGTAACGATCCCTGTGCAT